AGGGGATTAAGATGCCTCACAGAGGGCTCCTTGTCCCCAGCATCGACTAAACCCTGATGATGGTCTTGGCTGGCTGGGAGATGGCATGGAAATTGTCTGAGGAGGGGCTTAGACATGAGTAAGGTGAACTCAGCAGACCTCAGCAACTCTTAACTTTTACCTGGGTTTTCCAGGACTGGGAGCAGGTGTGTCAGTGTGTGTGTGGGGTGTGTGTGTGTGTGGTATGTGTGGGGTAGGGGTGTGTGTGGGGTATGGGTGGGTGTGAGTGGGGGGTGGGGGGTGAGTATAGGGTGGGGAAGTGGGGTGTGGGTGGGTGGGTGTGAGTGTATATGCGTTTGTGTGGTTGGATGGGGTGTTACAGTCCAAGGGCAAAGGTGCTAAGTGCTATTAACTGCCTCTCTAGAGCAAACTAGGCTAGTTACCCGCTACATTCAGGTGGCAGACTGGAAAGAGGGTGGCCTTGGGCAAGCTTGGGGGCTATCTGAGTCACTGGCAAAATGCTGCCACTTCTCTGGGCTAGCAAAGTGTGAAAGTTTAGAAAGAGTGTGTAGGACAGTCTCTGAGTGACTCCCAGGAGGAAAAACCTGAGGATAGAGGGAACACCCTGGAGGCTGAGTACTGAGGAACTGTCCTGGCAAAGGTCCTGAGGCAGGAGTTAGTCTTGGAAAGTTAGAGAGCCATTAAGGGGACATTATGGTGTGAATGGACAGATGGGCAGAAAAGTTGGGGACAGAGTCAGAGAGGCCGCTAGGGTGAGTTTAAGAGGGAACACAAAAAGGGGGCCAGCAAGAGAGCGAGTAAAGGTACTTGCCACAAAACCTGAAAACCTGAGTTCAGTCTTTGGGTCCACAAATTGTCTTCTGATTTCCAGACATGCACACAGCACAGGGAAGCTCTCATACACAATCAATGAATCAATCAGTCGACAAACATAGTAAGAAAATTTACAAAATGAAGGAACACAAAAAAGACCAGGGCTTAGAATCACATATCCAGAGGATCTTGGGCAGGAAAGCAGTGGTTTTACAAGAGAAGGGCTGGCTGGGAGCACAGGGTGCCTACTAGGTAAGAGAATATCTTTTTCACAGCCCTGGGGTTGGGGGTGACTCCTAGTGGCCTTGCTTGTGTGTGGGGTGTGCTGGGGGAATGGGCATCCTGCTGAGGTCTACAGAGACCATTGGTGCTGCCCGAACTTCCCCAGTGCCTGGCTTGGGGAATTTCCACTCACAGCTCCAGGATACCTGAAGGTTAAGATTTCCACTTGGGAACACATGACAGGGTCACTGGGTGGAGTTGCCCTTCATCTCATAAGTGGCTGGGAGTGGGGAGTGGGCATGCTGCCAGATCAGAGCCCTGAGACAGACTTCAGCCTACCCAAAGAACCCGGCTGGGAGGTCAGGCCAACATTTCAGAGTGCTATCATCTCCCTGAGGGTGTCATTTTCCCACCTCTTAGGATGCTTCTGTGAGGGACAGAGAGACCAGTCGCCAAGGTGACCAGACCCAGCACTGTTGGTACTCTGCAGGTATACCTGTGGAATGGCCAATTAGGATGATCTTGGGAACCTGGAGAAGACCCTGTGATTCAATCTTAGTTAGCCAATTAAGACTTCTTGTAGTGGCCTTGCTCTGGGCTTGTCACAGTGGCCAGGGCACAAAGACACTGGGGGCCACTGAGTAGCTGTCCTGTCATTCCTTTTCTGGCTCCTGTCGCCATCCCAGCCCTGGGGACTAGAAGACACTCTGTCTTCCAGCTGCTCCCCTGCCCTCCTCAGAGGACTTCATTATGTACCGGAACTCTTGCTGAGACCCCATAGGTGCATCCAGGCAGGTGTGACATCACAACTGGGACATGTCCCCAAGGCTAAGTGAAGAGCTGTAGGTGGCATGGAAGGACAGGCCACCATGGGAGTGCCTCAAAACAGCTGTGGTTCCAGTCACTGCCCATCTCTGGAGCAGCTTCCTGCACAAAGTCCCCACTGCACCTGGAACAGCTTCCTGCATGGTCTCCGGGGGCTCGGGGTTTCAGAAGGGGCCCAGGGGCAGGAGACATCAGGGTGGGGCCCAGTGGATGGGAGGATGAAAATGTACTGAGTGAAGGCTGAGGACCCACACCTGCCTCTGAGTGTCTCCTTCAGCTGCTGGCCCGAAACCCAAAGAGGCAGGGTGGGGGAGGGGGCAGATAGATGATGCTCTGGTCTGGCCAGCTTGTGTCCTGGCCAGTTGCCCTTTTAGAGACCCTCTTAGAGAACACAATGCAGATCACTGGCTGTAGCATCGAGGTCCCTCTAAAGGAGGGAGAGGGTGCTGCAGTTTACTTTGTTGCTCTGAGTGTCCCCTTCCTTTGGGACACTCAGACCAGTGGAGGCCGGAGACCTTTTCCCTAGCTTCATGTGGTCCCTTGCTCCAACCAGCCCAGGCAGGCAGGTGCAGGTAACAGTTCCTCCACCAGCCCCTCCTCCTGCCTCATTCTTCCTGTCCCAGCTCAGCCCATCTAGCGTGAAGGGAGGGAGTGTCACTCTTCCCATTCAGGCCCCAGGCAAGGGCAGGCATTCCCTGACTCCTGTGTACCCGAGACATCTCCAGCAGCTCCTGCCATGGACAGATGGTACCTGGGTGAGTCCCCCAAGCCTGTCCCCCACCTCTGCCCTCTTCAACTTGGATTTAGGGGACCACCAATCACTTTCAAACGCACCTACTAGCTGCTTACAATTGTGGGAGAAGCAGAAATGAAAGACAGGCTGTCCTAAATAAGGACCTCAATACTAGTGGGCCTGCTATGGTGTACAGGGCACCTCTGAGCTGGAGGCTGGGGAAATTGGTTCTTCATCAGTCTCCTCATCCAGCTGTGTGTCCACCCATCTGACTTCAGACTACTGAGTCACATCTTAGTCCCTGTATTTTCTAGCTGTCTGCTCCCTGGCCAGTTATGTCTACATCTCAGTAAAACGGGATAATGCTAGTCCTGTCCTTCCCTACTGAATCATGTGGCAATAGAAGGGGTTACTTTCCCAGTGTCTGGAACAGAAAAGTAGTTGTCAACCTGCTTTCCCATGGCTTTGCCTACCTGTCTACACCCCTGCCTCCCTGCCTGCCCACTGGTCCGTCCATCCATCCATCCTTCCTTCCTTCCTTTCTTTTCTTTCTCTCTCTCTCTCTCTCTCTCTCTCTCTCTCTCTCTCTCTCTCTCTCTTTCTTTCTGTCATGTATCTTTCTAACTTGCTACCTATCATTCATCTCTTACGCTAGAGAGAACTCATAGGGATTTACAAAGATAGTTACCAAGGTAATGCGAGGAGTGAGATGCTGCTAAATTGTCTGAAGAATAGCCCCAGATCCACAGCCATCTTTTACCTGGGCATTTCCATCCTGGCTCTTTCCTTTCTATGTTTCAGGCTTCAGCTTTCCATGATCTCAGTTTTTTTTCTGGTCTCTGGAGGACTATGGCACTAGGTATGGTTGGGAGAAGCCAATGTTCAGCCTTAGTTTTTTCCTCTGTCAAATGGAGCTACCAGAGGTTTAAATGGGGACTGTGAGTGATGAGAGCCTAGCATGTGAGTCCAGCCTCTCACAGGGCAGGGCTACTGTCTCTTTTTATGAATGTGTTCACTGGGCTCTGAATGCTTAGGAGAGCTGCATGAGTACTCCAAAGCTGCACAGTCAGGGCACCGTCTCTGTTCTCTCACCTACTTAGCAGAGAGTGGTTGGCTTTCTGCTGGTACCATTAAAGAGGCTATAGTCTGATATGCCTGTCTCAGTCCCCACAAACTTCCCTGAGTGACCCTGCCCACTGTATAGACAAAGAGACAGAGGCACAGGGAGGTAAACAAATTGGCAAAGATCAAATGACCAGCAAGGGGTGGAGCCAGGGTATGAACACAACTATCCGTGCCTTGGCATTGATTGACGGGGGACTCAGAGGTGGGGAGCCCTTCCCTCCAGAAGTACTGAATTGCACCAGGGGAGTAGATATCATCCATTCATCTGTCTATCTGTCTGTCTGTCTGTCTATCTATCCATCTGTCCATCTTTTATCCACCTGGCTATCATCTCTCCATCAATCTATGATCTATCTATCTATCCATCTATCACCTATGTAGCCTGTATGCACGCATGAGTATGTATGTATGTATGTATGTATGTATGTATGTATGTATGTATGTATGCATCAGCTATGTCTGTGTATACTATCTGTGTACCTATCTATATATCGTCTTCTAGTGATGGACATTAGCCTGTTGGAGGCCAATTCTACTGTCTAGAACCCATAGAAGACTGTATAGTACTCGAGGAAAACCCATACCATAGTTCCCAAGGGGACAGTCACAGTGAAGCGAGGGGGGCGGGCAGCCTGGTAAGTATGAGCAAAGCATCTGTACCCTGAATCTGAATTGAGTAGCCATCAATCCCCTCAACTCTCACTAGCTATTCTCTTCGGTAAGGCCTCTAACTTCTCTGTGCTTCAGATAGCTCATGTCAAGTAGGGAGATAACCCAAAAGGGAGAAGCCAGCTAGAAAATGCTTCATAAGCCATAAGAAGAAGGCTGGGCCCCTTCCTGAAAGTGTCTTAAGTGCATGGTGGACAGCCACACGAGGGAGTGCTAGGCATTAGGGTAAGACATTAGTCAGGGATGACAGAGCACTTCAGACTGAGGTGTGAGTGGCTAAATGTGCCCTTAGGATCAGGATAAATAAGTCAGGACTGGTTGTCTGAGACAGCAGTGCCATGGAGGCCCATCCTGCCATGGACCCAAGGCTGTGAGGACTTTGGTGAGAGGGGAGGCAGGGCAGGCTCCGCAGGAACCCCTCAGGGAAACATGAGTGCCCCATGAGAATTAGCCATCACGGTGCTAGCCACAGGGGCTGGCAGGACGCTCTGAGGGCTGAGGGACTCAGAGATCCCTGACCTGACAGAGCTCCCCACCCCCATCCCTGTGTGCCATCCACAGTGAGTGCATTTGAAACTTCCACTTCCTCAGCTCAGCTGCGTCTTCCCCTGCTGATGGAAGAATACTGTTGCTGCCCATCCGGGCCCTGCTCTCTGGAAATTTCCTTTGGGAGGGGCTGGAGACTGAAGCCAGCCCCTCCTTGCCTCTGGCTACCCCAACACCGCCTTCTTGCTTGGCTCAGCAGGAGCCCCTCTGAGTACACTCAGCTTTTCTTGTGACCAGGGTAAATATTACCTGACACTGTTAATATTTAATGCCCCCCACCTCTGTCCTGGCCACCCCCACGGCAGACACTGTCCCCGAAGTAGAGGCGGCAGGAAGACTGTGGAGAAGCTGTGGTGGCTGGGGAAATGACAGGGCTCTCGGCTGATGATGGTGAGTGCAGCACCTGGTGAGGCTGGCAGGACTGCCTTTGGTGGGCAGCTGAACCCCCTTTCCCTCTGGGACTGCCTTGGAACCCCCTTTCCTTCAAGGACTGCCTTTGGTGGGCAGCTGAACCCCCTTTCCCTCTCTTGCTCCCTTGCCTCCAGGTTTCCGGCCAGTGGCTCTCTAAGAAAATTAGCAATGGGAAGGGCCTGATTCCTCTACCCCCATGGAAAAGAAACAGAATAGCAGAAATCAGAGCATCAGAAGTGTGTGTGTGTGTGTGTGTGTGTGTGTGTGTGTGTGTGTGTGTGTGTGAAGTGTTCGTGTGTACATGTTCGTGTGTGACTTTGTTTTGAGACAGAATCTTGTTCTGTAGCCCAGGTTGGCCTGGAACTCATTGTATAGTCCAGAATAACCTAAAATTCCCTGCAATCCTCCTGCCTCAGCCTCCCACACCCTGCCCAGTGTGACTTTCTTGTGTTGGATGGAGGGAGAACTAAGATCACAAAGTGGGCAGGGTCTTCCAGGGTTAGGAGTGGGAAGAGCAGCCCTTCGGGCCAGCCTTCCCTAACTGGCTTAGCGTTACAAGAAAAGCCCCGAGCTTTGGGATCCATAGACTGAGGACTGGAGCCCAATAGGGCCCCTGCTGACTCACAGATCTTGAGGGTTCTGGCCCGGAGCTCTGGCTGGGGAGAGGCACATCAAATTGTTCAGAAAGGAAAGGAGGATCCTAGCTTGGATCTGCCCAAGGCTGACACCAGCTCCCACTGTGACCTTGACTATGACTGAAACTGGGGACACTTTCTACATGGAAGCAGAGCCTAGGTCCCTGTGGCTTCTCCCTAGATTCTGGCCTTCCTGAACAACCCATACCAGAGGTCTGGGAGGCACTGACCATCTCCAGCCACTGGAAACAGCTGGACCCACCAGGCCCTGTAGTTGACCATCTCAGGGTCACAGTTCAAAGTTGCCTGGGAATTGCTAACTTGTTCATTCCTTTAGAAAGGGCCTCAGTCCCCTAGTGCCAAGAGGGTCTCTAGCAGGGCAACAAAGAGTAGAGTTGACATGGAGGGGGTGGGGAGGGGTGGTCGCAGCTTTGCTAGCCAGAGCACCACCAGGTACCCAAGGGTAAGTGCTCTGAGCTCAGGAAGCTGGAAAGTGGAATATGTGCTTTCACCAGGATGAAGGGAGCCACAGGCAAGGTGAGGGCCATGCACCTTGTGGACATGTCTTCCTACCTGTCACTTGAGAGGGACTTAGACTCATGGTGACCCTTTGCCCGGGGTTCAAATACCAGCTCTGCCCCTTACTTGCTATGTGGCTCAGTTAAACCTCTCTGTGCTTCAGTCTCTTGTGGAATAGAGGGGGAATAACAGCAGTGTCCCCCGTGTGGTCTGAGCTGATGTTCCATTCGTTTGGGCATGCAGGACCGAGTGCATATTCCTCACTCTTGCTAAGCTTGCCCTGAGGACGATAACATAGGAGAACAGAAATCTAAGATGAGTCAAGTCCCGATTCTGCCTTCAATTTCCAGTGTCTTTAAAAGACTCCGGGGGACCCATGGTTTCTTTCTCCTGTTCCCTGAACATAGAGGCTCTGTTTCGCCCATTCATTTAGTTCACAGATACTGTTCTTCCTTGAGAAAGTGGAATTATCAATAGAGGTCACTAAGGGGCCTCCTGGGAACACTGTTCTTTGGCCTGTCCTCGTGATACAGAACAGGGAGCTGGGGAGGACCACACCCTCCTGGGACTGTGGAGGGTTCCCTGCAACCAGCACAGACCTCCACTTTAGGGCCCTGCGTCTGATCCTAGGGTGTCCGTGTGATGTCCTGGCCACTCTTACCCAGCTACCCCATGTCTATCTGGACCCTTGGGGATCCTGAGAAGTCCAGAGTTCCCACTGCTCTGGGTTGTGACTGTCTTGCTCATCCCACCCCTGGCTCTCTCCGCAGGTGGCAGCGCCAAGGGGCCAGAGGATCCATTCCACTATGGTAAGACAGTCCTCCCCTTCCTACCCCATCTTCGGGCTCCCAGCCTGGTTCTGCTATCTGCGCTCCAGGCATGGGGCTGCTGGTGGGTGGATTTGGGAAGTCTGCAAAGGGCCTTGCTTACACCACCACGCATGTCTCCTGTCTTCCAAGATTATGAGACCGTCCGCAAAGGGGGCCTGATCTTCGCAGGCCTGGCCTTCGTCGTGGGGCTCCTCATCCTCCTCAGTAAGTAGAGACTGGTGGGGCATTTCCCAAAGTCATACAATAAGGACACTCACCAGTTCCCAAGCCACACTCCAGTCGGAGGAGGAATTTAGGAAGGGTATGCAGGGGACAGCAGTCCCCTCCTCCCCCACCCCGTTTCCTTCAGGGTGCCCCCTAGTGGCCTTGGGAGGGGGAAACTAAGAGAGAGTCTGGCTGGGCAACTGTGGGGTAGAGGAGGCCAAAGGGGTAGGCACCTCCTATCCTAACACCATCTGGATACCTTCTGAGGTGGCCACACCCTAGCCACCCTAGCCATTAGGTAGTCTCAGCACACTGAGGGACAGTACCCCTGCCCTCACCATCAGCGTTTGAGAGGCTTGCAGCAGCTCCCCTCCCCAGGTATGTCTGACATCCACCCTTCCCCATATTGTTGGAAACCAACAAGGTTGGGATCCAGGCACTGGAGCCCACCACTGACTGATCCACCCTTCCCCATATTGTTGGAAACCAACAAGGCTGGGATCCAGGCACTGGAGCCCACCACTGACTGATCCTAACACTGGCCTCCATTTTTCTCTCTGTTAAATGGACACAATCCCATTAGTCTTATAAGATTGGAGCTAGGATCCTAAGACAGCTTAAGAGTGAAGCAGATACATTAGGAGGGGTCTGGGGTAACCATGGAGGGATCTAGGGGAGAAAACGTCCTTATATATCTTCCATCCTTGACAGGCACAACAGCAAGTGCTTAATCAATGTTTGTTGCCACCAAAAGAAAAATACCAGAATCACAATTAGGGAGACCCTGGGAGAAGCGGACAGGCTTCTGTGTTCTGGAATTCCCCACAGTCTGGCCAGTCTGGCTCCTCCCACTCCACCTGAAAGCTGGGCTTCCGGTTCTGTCTGGGAGGGGGCTTCGGGGGCGGGAATTGGAAGTTATGAGTGAGGCAGGGATTTGAACTTTGGATTTGGCCTGTCCTCCTCCAAGAGTGCACTGAGAAGCTACCCTGTTGTCCCCAATACGGCGCTGGTGGTATCGTGAACTCTGGTCCCAGCTGCCACTTTCAACATGTGCATAGTCCATCACAGATCTTGCAAAGTGAATGGTTGTTGATTGACTAATGTCTTGGTGGTCCAGCCCTATATAAACAGAGAAACAGTTCAACATAGACGCCAAGCCCCACACTGTGATGATGCTGGAGAAGTGGGGGGGGGCAAGCCTGGCAGAACTGGGTCTTCCAGGGTCTCCTTGGAAAATGGCAACAAACTTTAACATCTCTTTTCCAGGCAAAAGATTCCGCTGCGGGGGCAGTAAGAGGCATAGGTGAGTGCTGTCGGGGAACTGACAGGGTGGGTAGGACGAGGGGGGGGTGGGAAGTTTTCCCCAATGAGGAGGAGGGGATTCACAATCAGGGGGCCCCAGGTTTCTCCTTCCTCTGCCTTCATCCTATCTTTCTTCATTCTTCCCCATCTCAGGCAGGTCAATGAAGATGAGCTGTGACAATAGGTATGTTTCCTTCAAGGGGCATGGGTAGAGAACGCATGTGAACAAGAGACAACAAGCAGAGAGAAATTTTGGGGGTCGGGTGGGCTGCCCCCAATAATGTTTTAAATTGAGGACCAAGTGTTGGAAGTAGGATTCGAGGAGTAGGGACATTGCAGAGGGATCCCTAGGAATAATTAGAGGAACAGGGACAAAACTGCCAGCCCCAGAGGCCTCCCTCCCAGCTTAAACACTGCCTTTGTCTTTCCAGAGCTGCCAGTGCCCACCAGTGCGCAGGCACCAAGGATATCTATCCATCGTCCCCAGCTGTGCTCCACTGTCTGTGATATCACAGTCTGTATTCATGATGAAGGACGCGTCGGGCTCACTATGACCCCCTCATGGTCATCCACTCATGCCTCTTGATCCTTAACTTCCTTCCTCCCCTCCCCAACTCTTCTAACATCCCACTTCCTGCTCCAAGTTGGGGTACATGTGCATGCAGCCTCATCTCACTGGTTTTCAATGAATCACTCTAGCAAGTACCTGCCAATGAAAACAGGCTTGGTATGATCATCTATGGGCCCTTCATCATTCACCCCTGAATCGTTGGGGACAGAGACCTCTGCCTGACTTCAGGAGCTATGCAGAAGTCTGAAGGTGTCAAGTTGAAGGTGACTGGGTCTGTGGGGCCCTGCTGGAGGCTGTTGAAGCCTGGGTACTCCCATGGGGAACTTGCTTGTCGGGTGCTCTTGGCCACCCAAGAGGTCGCTGTCTGTGGCCACATTCATGGGTTTTCCCAAGGTGCACTGATGTCCAAGGTGGGTGAGTCTGAAAGCCCAGTGCTGGGCTTCAGTTCATACTTCCCGCAATCCGTCAATCACCCTTCCTAGGGTGGGTGGGGTCCAAGGGACTCCAGCTGGACCCACTCTTACCCAGAGAATTGGGTGTTGGCTTGCTTCATCCCTGGGCCAGAAGTGAACAGTAAGTGAGTTCACTGTTACTTGCTTCCTTTGGCCTTGTCCATCTGGGGCAGAGACCTACAAAGGGGTCCAACTCCCTCTCCCACCATTCCCATGAGCTCTCCAAGGAGACTGGAGGGCTGGCAGGATACAGGCACCATCTGGCTTCCTTATCTGCATCTCAGGGTATCAGAGCAGAACCCTGGGTGATGGCTTTTGAAAGACTGTTTGGGTGGACTGTACAGTCAGGGTGGACAGGCCATTTCACTTGGAACTTAAGCCTTCTGTCCTAATCCACTGCCCCTAGGCTCTGAGGCCTACCCACCCACAGGTAACTGCAGATAGTCCTTTGAGAACATTTCCATTGTATGGAAGGGGACACTGAGCCCCTCCCCCACCCCACCCCCCAAGAAAGGCAGTCACTTGTCTAGACAGGGTAACACCCTGCTTGCCTTTTGTCCTGAAAGCTAAGACATAGGGAAGCCTGGGGAGGAGATGCCAGCTGAGAGCAGTAGCCAACTAGGTAAAGTCTGGTTACTAGACTCAGTATCACACCACTGACAAAATGTGACCTCACGCCCTTAAGTAGAACTTGGTTCTGCTATGCTTGAGCTCCCTCTAGAGGGTGGAAAGAATAAGCAGAGCTGGAGATCTGGCCAGGGTTAGGGTGGGGGAGGAACCAACCTCTTCAAGGTTTCTGGATGCAGGGTCAAGGCAGATAGGAAGAGGTATTCAAGGTCTGTGGTTCACGAGAGAGAAGTGGGAAGCCTGGAAAGGAGTCACATTTCCAGAATGTTCTATTCATCGGCCCATCACTTAAATGGTCTTGAATGAGTCACTTCTCCCTCAGCCTGCACCATGTCTCCTGCTCTGTTCTCTAAGTGGCCAGACTGGCACACAGGAGGTGGACCTTGGGGCCTTTGCCAAACCTGGGCCTAACCGTATGTCATCCTTGAGCAGGGACTGATGGGCACAAGCATGCGATTAGCTGGTGAGCCTGTCCTCCTTTCCCCATGCCCTCTGCCAGCATTACCCAGGCTGAGGCTCAGTGAGCCAGACCAGGCTTGAGGAACACTGCTCCAGGGACATTCTGATTCTATGACCTTCCCCTGGGCCAGGACATCCCCCTTCACTCTCCGTGAAGTTCACACACTGAGAGTGACTGAACTTACCCTTCACTCTGAGGTTTTCCACACAGCAGAGCTGTGCTAAATTACAGAATACAAACCAAGTCTTCAAAGTGACCCTGGCCTCACGGAGACCCAGCTGCCTTAGCGTGCAATTCCTCTTCCTACCACCAGAGGGAGCACACGACCTTCTCAGAGTCACCTAAAATTGCAAATGCTGAATCGCTGGCCTATTCCTGATTTCCCGGGAAAGCTCCGGACTCCTTTTCACGAAGCCTCAGACCGCACAGCTTGAGTTGTCATCATGATCCTATTCCCATCTCCAGATGCCCCCTTCCAAACTCATTAACACCCAAGAATGGGACACCCAGGGTAAGGGCAATGAGACCATTGGGAAAGGGGCCCTGACCTGTTTGGATTTGGCTTCCCTATCAGAAGCCGGACTGGGCTGGGCCATTTGGAGTGTGAGGACTCCTTGTACAGGCCTCCAGTTTTTCTAAAAGCTCGTCAGATTGCGGGATCACCCCCCGCCTCACCCCAGCAGTTCTGGGTTCTCCCGGTTCAGTAAGGAAGAGGGAGACCCAAAAGATTTGCTTTGAGTAGCTCTGCTGCTGATCCTACCCACACAGCAAAACGAGGGCCTCCTTGGACAGATGGGTCCTAGGGCAGAGAAAGGACCGAGTCCCCTCTCCCCCAATACCTTGCTCGGGGATGGAGTGCCACTGCTGGGGCGATGAATCCCCTCCCCCCAGAGGTGCACCCCAGGTGGTCAAGCTCTGAACTGCAGTTGAGGTGATGGTACCCCAACCTTCACCATGAGACTGTTCATCATTGGCTTGACAGACGCCCCACTTGGTGAATGTCATGGCGGCTCGGCTCTGCTGTTCCAATCTGCAAGATGGATCAGCTTGGGCCTCAGGGTAGGGGACATAGCATCCACAGTCAGGTGTGGTAGGAGAGTGGCACTGAAACATGGGCTGCAAGTGAGAACTGTCCTAGCCTTAGATTCTGGAGACTCAGGTCCCCTCCCAGTCTCAGGATACACAAGGAATCCTGGACTGGGAATGCTTTGTGTTGTTGCAGTTGAATAGCCAAGGGGCTGGAAAAAAAAAATCCTACTTAGAATTTGGAACCTTAGTACCCAGTGTTTCAGCCAGACACTGGTGGGACAAGAGAGATAGCAATAGGACACAGGTTATGGTGGGGGTGCCCAGTTGTCATGGGCCTCACATCTGGGAGGCCCAGGGGCCAGGGCCACTCTTCAGGTCCCATTTGGCAAGTGTGTTTCTCCAAGCCTGTTGGGCTGCCCAGTGTGACCCTCCTATAATTCCATAGTGCTGTTGCCATCTTTACGTCTCTAAACTTCCTTCCCTGTTTTGAGAACTTCTTGCTGCTGCTTCCTGGAAGAGCCTTTTGGTGTTACTTGGAGGAATGCCTGTGTGAGCCAGGTGGTAGGTGACAGAGGAGGGTGGGAAGTTCCCAGCGAAGGCAGCAGCTGGTGACTCAGGCTGTTGAAGCTCTGCAGGTCGCAGACCACACTCTGGAAACTGAAACTGGCTTTCCTAGGAGCCTTGTCCCTGAGCCTACTGTGTCCCTGACTGTCAAAACAAAAGAGGAGGCAGAAGTTCTAAGTTTCAGTCTAAAAGTCAAGGAGTGGTGACTTTGAAGGGAAAGTTGGAGTTGAAGGGAATTCTCTTCCGAACACAGGGTCGTTAGTTGTTCTTAATGCGCAGCTAGATGTACACAGCCACGTGTACACACCGGCTAGAAAGCAGGCACAAAGACACCTGGAGAAGCAGAGGAAGGAGCTAGGAAGGAGCATGGTGAATTCTCTCTCTGTTTGTCCCCCCAGAAAGGCCTGTCAATCAGTAACTGAGAATGCATTTACACCGACTGCCTGGAACTCGGTGTCCTTGCTCTGCAATGAGTAACATTTCAGATCTCCCTTCTGCAAACCAAACATTCACCATGAAGTTAATAAAGTTATTTAGGAGAAACCTCAAGCCCTCAGACAGTCACCAGGAGACACAAGCAGGTATAGGGGGGTGCAGAATAGGCCTCAGCTGTTTTGGAACTCTTCCTGGGACCCTAATGACATATCTTCTTGGGTCTGAACATTCCTTCTTTCTGGGCCCCAGACAATTAGCTACTCCAGGGGTGGAATAAAAACTTGTGAGTTCATCCATGCTCCCTAGTGCCTATCCAGCAGAAGATCTATTCAGTAAATGTTTATTGAGTAACCTCGATGGCTCCTTAGAGGAAGAGGAATAAATGAGGAGTGACACCACCCACTCCCTCAGTGTACAGGGGTGAGGAGGGTTGTTCAGTGTAGGGTCTTGGGTAGAGACGGTGGTATATAGGCTCACTGAAGTGGGGGACCTTTGAGATCTAGCCCAGTGACCACCTTCATTTCATCTTCTGAGTCCTGGGAACCAGCAAAACTCTCTGGAACCCTGGGTCAGTGATTATGTGATGGTCATTGTGTCTAAGCTAACACTCAAGGCCACTAACTTTCCTGGAACCTTCCCATCAATGATTTTGGGAAAGTTTATCTGGCCCCTCCTTCTCAGGGCACCATATCCAAGGAAGGCAATGAGGTAGCGCCCCATGAGCCCACCTTCAAGATAACCATATGCCAGGGATAGACTGGAACACCCAACCCCCTCCCCGGACCCTCTGTGCCCTCACCTGGGGGATCTTAGTTTCTTCCCTTGATGAGGGGGGCAGATGGTCTGTGGTCCTATTGTCCTGAGAACAGAGAGGATGTGGAAAATGTCTCTGGAGTGTATATTCCCTTTTATGTGAGGAAAGGGGGTGGGTATGATTCTAGTCATGTTGGATCTGGGGAGAGGCAGAGAAACCCATCAGCAGAGAGAGCCTAGGTAGAGGGTGGCCTGGACTAATGCAAGAGTCTGGGCAGCTGTGAAGACATTCGGTGCCTCCATTCATAGGCTGTGATCCCTACAATGGTCTCACTGAAGAACTGGAATTTCCCTGGCATCACATGCTGGGAGAAGAAAAAGACTGAGACCGTGGTGCCAGCCAGAGGGGAGTTGTCTCTTGGGAAGAGATCTCACACAGTTCTGAGGACTCGTCAGAACACCTTGCCAGAGGAACTTGAGACAGTGATAGGTCAGGCTAGACCACACCCTGACCTGTATAAGGATTCAGGCATTATGCTGGCCTGCCCCTGTCACCTGGCAGAATGCACTCAGGCAATACCCTGGTCAGCCCAGGGTTCCATGGTTGTGTAGTCTGCACAGGTGCAAAGGACCCCTTTAAAAGACAGACCCCATCTGCTTACCCTCTCTTTCCGATTCTCTTTCCTGCTGTTCTCCTGGGGCAGACAGGACTTTTTCTGTCTCCCTCTTCTCTTCTTTCCTCTCTGTCTCTGTCTCTTTACCTCTTCTCTCTCTCCCTTTCCCGTTCTAATAAAACTGCTCACTTAAGCTCTGTCTGCCTGGCATGT